GACATAGGTTAAGTTGATCAAACCACTATAAAATCTGGTATGTTCTTTATGTGTTATTCCTACACTTTATTTTTTTGCATATTAATTTTTATGGTTGATTGCATTTGTTTTAAAATATTTGAAAGAATTTTAAAAAGTTTTTTACTTTGTGTTTAAGAATTTTTAAAACTACCAACTCACCCCCCTCTTGGTTAGCCTCAGGATAGTTCATAAGGGCTTAACAACCCTAACAAACTTTCATTGTATGTAAAACACTAAACCCACTTTAGATTTAGGATTCAAGGCTACTACTATCAGTGTCTTATAGTACGCCTCATCAGTGGGCAAGTTCTCTATCCTTTAGAGGCTATAAATCCCACCTATTTATATTACATGGATGACGCCACCACTATTTTTCTTTCTTATATGCTCAGAGTGCAGTGTTATCTTTTCTACAATTCCATTTCATTACATTAATCCTTATAGATGATGATATGAGCCGTATATGTTGACTAAGCCAATTTAAATATTTTTTCCCCAAACTAAGTCATATCATTTTCGTGTTATTGCAGCTGCTGTGATGCGTAGCTTTCAAAATGTGCTAGATCATTTGCATATTGTTGTTGCTGCTCAACTACAAGTTTTTAAATGTAAACGCCCACTAATCAATCCTCTAAACCAGTTTTTTAATCTGAGATTGTTGGTGTCCGGGCTGTTGGGCTGGTGCGGGAGCGGGCTATTAGGCAGCGTCCGACGAGGTCAAGCCGGTTGCCGGGTGGGAGAGCATGAGATTTTTTTTTCTGCTGCCTAATTTTGCCGGAAAAACTGCTGGAATTAATTTTCCTACGCGTGTTTTACAGGCAGATGTTTTCCGCCAAAAAATCGCCGGTAAAATTTAAAACCGTCGGAAAATGATCAATTTCCGCAAAAAAATTCTGCCGGTAATAGATGATTTTCATGTAGTGACCCTTTCTTCTAAATTTATAGATTCTACTCCTTGGGTGACTTCAACTACTTCTTCTTCTTCTTCCACCCTAGACCCTATAGAATTATCAGGTTCTTCAAAAATTACATGAGTAGTCTTCTCTACCATTAGTGTCCTTTTATTGAAAACTCTAAAGGATTTTTCAACATTTGAGTATCCTAGGAAAACTCCTTCATTAGATTTTGGGTCAAACTTTTCTAACATTGATTTCCTATTGTTTAGAATGAATACTTTACATCCAAAGACATGACGGTGAGAATGGTAGAGTGTCCTGCCCTTAAGGATTTCATAGGGTATCTTATTCAGCTTGGATCTAACATTAATCATATTAATAGCATAACAAGATGTATTTACCGCTTATGCCCAAAAGTATTTAGGAAGTGAATATTCAGTTAACAAGGCTCTAATGGCTTCTACCAAGCTATTGTTCTTTCTTTTAGCTACCACATTCTACTGAGGGTTTCTAGAAGCTGAAAAGTTGTGATATATCCCTTGCTCCTTGTAGTAGTTTAAAATTCTTATTTTCAAATCCTCCACCATGATCACTATGAATTATCAGAATTTTACAACCTAACTTTCTTTGAATCCAGGTTGAGAATGATCTAATTAATGGTTGGCTCTTAGTTGGGCCAAGGGCCATTTTAAACTAAAGCTAAACATAAGACATGTCTATCATCATTCAAAATGACGTTAACATCTTGATTCAAGGCCAATAACATGCTCAATGAACTTCATGATTTTAGTAATCCAATTAGCAATTAACCACATAGTTCTAATTTTTTAGAGGTAGAAATTTAAGGTAATAAAAATCTTCAAAAAATTTGTTCATAGATTCTATATTGTGAGATCCATGTATGGTCTAAATCTCATTCAATTTGGTTGGCAATTAAATCCATATAAAAATTCTAAAATAGTTTCTAAGTGAATAGATTAGAATAATTAGGAGCCATCTAATCCCATTAAAATCCTAATAAGATTGCATCTTTTTCATGTGTGTAGGTTTAAAACTAGAGGAGTAGAAGCTTTTAGGCTAGGTGAACCAAGCATGTCCAACGAGTATTTCTCCTAACATGGTGGACTAAACCTTAAGATCTTGACGGAAGGGAATCACTCTCCTTATTACGATTAATTATTTTGTGCGGATGCCGAAAGTCATTCATAGACCAACCAGAATGCGCCACATCACCCCTTCGCTCAGTACTATCGCTCGGTACCGCTGACGTGACACATTCTTGTTGGTCTCCGGACGACGTTCTGCATCCGGGCTCTGCAAGAATAATTTTTCCGTCATTATAGCCTCACTCACTCCACAAGCCACCACCTTTAGGATCACCCTAGGGTATGCGTTTCTCATCTCCATAGCCAATTTGGGCTGATGAATTTGATCACTCAGCTTGAAGGAAACTCGAGGCCATAAGTCCTCTCTGTGAAGTACTCATGAACTTGCTCATAATTAAATTTTGACTGATGATGTCTAGATGAGTGGGGAGAACAAGCCTTACAATAGTTTTGGACTTTTTTTGTTGCTGTAGCTCACTAACAACGCTAGGAAGCTGCTGGGAGCTTTAGAATTCCTCTCTGAGCTTGGAGAATTGAGTGGAATAGAATGAACTAAGCATATAAGCCCTAAGCTTATAATTAAATTTTGATGATTATAAATATGATTAAGAAATTTGAACTTATGGTTTACACGTACCATTAGTATGTTCAAGCATAAGAAGACAAGCTCAAATAAATAAATATATATGTTTAAGAGCAAATTATAATAAAAGTATTAAAGATATACACGAGAAGCAAGTTAGATAATTGAACACAATCCTTAGAACTAAAATTGGGTTGTTAATTTTTAGCACTTTAAAAGTGTTGTCTTCACAACTAAATTATTTTTAAAATTTTATTTAGAATACTATCTTTAATAAACTAAATAGATATTTTGATAAAAAAGATCGTAAATTTGATTAAGGGATGGTTTGGTTGGAAGTAAATTGGGTATAAAGTATTCCAAATATAAGGATTTTGAAACTATTAGTGTTTGGTTGGAAGAAAAAGGAATGTAAAGTAAAATAAATGTAGTGTAAATCATTTTAATTCTTTTTTGAGGTAAATTAAACTCACTCAATTTTGAGCAAGAACTGTTTATAAATTACACCACAAGCAAGTTTACTTGACATCTGTCGTCGGTCATTGCAGCTGACCACCACCAGGTCTCCGGTCACCACCACCTGCTATCAGCTGCTGCCTGCTAACCACCATCGTCGCCAACTTGCCGCAAACCTCCACCTCTGCCAGCCATCACCTACTGTTGGCCTCCGTCAACTATCACCGTCGGTTGTAGCCACCACCATCGTTGCTGTTGTCGCCAAACACCACCCACCGCCACTCACCACCGCCCACCATCGTCGAACTCTACACTATATTCATTTACTTCTAATCAAATAAAAAAAATATTCACCTCCATTTACATTATATTTATCCAAATAATTTATATTTTTTACACTATATTTATTTTATACTACATTCATTTTTTGTCAACAAAATTATACTCAAATTCTGCCAATGCCACCAATGTGAAACTCTACAATAGCCTTTTAATTTGAAAAGCTAGTTAAAAATAAACTGCAGTTACTGTAAAAAATTGTGCTGTATATTTCTTCGCAACTATAATTATGAAATATTATGAAAAAATTGTGGCGGTGGGTCTCTTCAATGCTCCAAAGTAAATAGCCAAAATGTGGGCAAGACTCCTAAATGAAGCAAATATGGGACCCACCCGAATGGGAGGAAGTCCTCATGTTGTCCAGTCAAGGGGAATCTAGCCTTCGTGACGATATCTTGCCCACGCTGTTTTCCCGAGACTGGAATTTGCGTCAGAATTCACACTATATTTTGTTTTGTTTTATTTTATTTTATTTTATTTTTCTTTCTTTTTCTTATCACAGTCTATGTATATATATATTTTTTTTCACTATCATTTTTTTAGGAGGTGTTTGATGGCATAATTAATTCTTCAGTAGAACTTAGCAGCATCCAACCCATAGACGTCGGGCCCACCCTTTCCTTCTACCCTCTAAGGAGGCGAGCAGTTTGAGAGAGGAATCGAACTTAGGTTGGGAAATTCGTAATCAGGCTCGCCCACTAACCAAGTTAAGCCCGATGGGTAATCAATGAATTCTTACTTAACGCTTTTTTTATTTAAATTTGTTACTCTAAAAAAATGTAGAATCACTTATAGGTTTTGTTTGAAATAAATTTTTTAAGTTTTTTTTAATAAGAAAAATAATTAGTAAAATATAATATTTATTTGACAGGCAGTTTTTTATTTTTATTTTCAAAAGATTATTTTTATTTCGATTCGTATGACTTTTTAAAAAATTTTGTAAGAAAAAACTAATTTTTAATTAAAATTGCTAAGTTATTTTTCTCGTATGAACTTTACAATCAATATTATAAAATACAGGCCCTTTGAAACTGCAAACCTTTGTTTCTTTGAATATTGATTTTCATCTTAATTAATTAATCATAAACCAATCAAACACTAAGGCTTTGTTTGGGATGGCTTTTTTATTGCTTTCTAAAATGGAGTTTTAGTTTAAAAATAAAAAAATTTGTACTAAAACCTCATTTTAGAAAGCAATAAAAAAACTGTCCCAAACGAAGCCTAAGTTAATTCTAAGCAACAAAAAAAGTAGCAAATCGAATCAATAGAATGACTATTGAAACAAAGGTTTAATGAGAATAAAATAGAATTTATATTAAGTATAAATAATATATATTTTAATTAAAAACTCATATTTAATTAATCTAAATATTATTTTAATAACTTATTGATAATATTCTTGTAAAAATAATTCAAATCTATAATCCCAAGATACATACAAAAATTGAGTCAGAATATTTTGTTCAATTTTGTTATTAATATAGTTTTAAATTTTTTTATAAATACTTTAAATTCAGTGCAATACAAATTACTCATTTCAAATAAATAAAAAAATATCTGATATGAAATTTTCCGAAATACACAGTACAATGATCATTGTCAGACCAATCTTGGTTTCTTCCCCAATTCAGTAGCTCCGCCCTCCGGCAACCTCAACTCGCTTGTACTCGCCGGGTCGTCGGTCGCCGGAGGCCGGCGGTCGAAGGATCTCAGGCTGCCTGATCCAGTGTACAACCGGCACAAGCTGAATTCAGCTCGAAGCTGCAAAGTCAAGAGTTAATTGCTTTATTATAAAAATGCCATTTATAAACAAAGTACTGATCACCGGGTAGATGTATATACCTTCAGAGTCACACCGGACACGGAGGCCGCGGAGGCGGCGGCGGCAGCGGTCGAGGTGGTGGCATGGTCATCGAACAAGCGATACTCGTTCATTTTCCACTTGGTCTTTTCGCCCGTTGGAGCCCGACCGTTGTAGAAGACCATGGTCTTCTTCATTCCGAGTCGATGCTTAGTGGAGGAATATATTGGAATGGGCGAACCGGTGGCTTTCCAGTAGCCGGTGGTGGTGGTCCTGCTAGGCCGGCCACCACTGGCTTCTCTCTCCTGTTGTGGGCAAAAGAAGAACCATTGCTCCTTGTCTTGAACGCATGGCTCTCCTGATAGCTCTGGTAATCATCAAGCAAAAGATAAACTTTTTTGAGAAAAATAGATAGAAAAATACACGAAGAAACACTGATATACATGTTTAATGAATTACACATAATGATAGAACAATTACAATAAATTTAATGAGGTTTTTTATCAAATATTTTAGCTGTTCATGTCATGAATGATGAAGAAGCACAATTGCACACAGCTAATGAAAACAATACAATATATACCATTAAGTTAACTTATTTCAACATTAATTTATGCATAAAATATTAAAGCGCTGGCAGGTTCATGTAGAATGAGGAGGAGGAGTTTACCAGGGAGTTGCCATGGCTCGTGGGAGAACACATCGGCCACAGGAATAACGCGTTCCATATCACTGCGCAAGTTATTGAGCTTATTATGGAGGTAGAAGGAGAGAAGCTCTTCTTCAGTTGGGTAGAAACGGAAGCCTGGAAGCTGAAAGCTGCTCATATTCTCTCTGAATAGTTCAGAGCTTGAATTCTCTGTAGTTAGCTTTAGAGGTAATAGAAGAGGTTCATGATATATATTGGCTAAGGTCCTAAGGAGTCTGGAGAGGGTAGAGAGAAGACGCGTGTCGAGGTTTCTTGGGATAGCGAAAGGTTCTGATAGTGGAGAATCTGCTGTGAAATTACGGATGGTGGTGGGCCTTGTAGAAAATATGGAAGAGGAGGGAGCGGAAGAAGTCAATTGATTCACTGAAGCATAGAGGTCGGGTTGGTCTTTAAGAAATAATATATCTTATTCTTAGGAAGCAAATAAATGGATAAATTTGTAAGAATTGACTTAATGAATTTTTAAAACTTAATGTATTTGGATAAAAGAATAGTTTGTATATATATGAAATAATATGATATATAGTCTATAAATAAAATTCAAAGTGTCGCGCAAATTATGAATGCATTTATATTGTTTAAATAGATGTCTAAATAACCTTAAATTGGCCAAGTCGAGTGAAATTGAATATATTTGATCATTTCAACTACTTTGTGCCAAATTCTTAAAGGAGGCCAGGGGTGAAATTTTATAATATTATTTAACTAATTTATATAAAAACTTTGATTCATCGTCACTAATAGATGGGTTGGGAGGATCTTGAGAAGGAATGCACTCCCACTTCTCTTGTGGTCGTGTGTAATGGTATATTGGTAACCTGGGACATACGTGATGGTAATGAAAATTTGGTTTATGATGGGAGGAAGTGTTATTTGTGTCACAATTCGACTCGTTATAATGCATAAGAAAAACAAGTCATACTGTGAGAGATTGTAACATGACAGAATTCCTAAGATCGAATTGCAGAAAATTACAGAGTTCTCATATATTTAAATTACAGGCTATACAACACTAAAATTTTAAGTAACTTCATAAATACTCATCATTAAAATTCTTTTTTCATTAATCTCAAAAATGTATATAATCAAAATAACAATATAGAAACAGTACATGGCATACATCACAAAATAGAACAGAAAGTGGCCATGACTGTCAAAATCTAAACAAACATTCCTATGCAAACATAGATCTCGAAACCTACGACTTTTCTCTACTTAATCTGCCCGTCCCTCTTATCCGTACTTAATATGCATGCCCCTTCCTCTTATATTGACTTAAAATAAATGCAAAAAACAGGCATAAGGAACCACAACTTAGCGTGTCACATTGAACTTACCAAATTGGTAATAATAAACAATAGAAATGAAGTAAATAATAATAAAATAAATTCATCTATATAGAAGTTTAAATAGACCACTCATAATAAGCGAATATCTATAAAATAGGAAACTATAAATCTATCACATCAATTCATAAGCAACAATAAACACATCACATTGATTACTCATAGCAAAACACATTCATTTCCCTCATACCCTTATACCTTTCAACACATACAAAATTTAGATTTCATGCCCATTATGACTCATAGTGCATAACACTTAGATATTCAAAATTTGAGACGCTATGACTCTCACTAAGATATTATAGCTCAATAAAATCTCCAACATATCATCAAAGCTTCGCCAACTCACATATTTCAAATATATAAACATAAAAATAATTGTATATTCAGATAAAATAACAACATCAAAGTCATCGTAGAATTTTCATAAAATTGCCTATTGGCAGTACAAAAATTTTTTAGGGAAACCTGCACACAAAATTTCATAAATTTAGAAATTTATCAAATTACCACATATTATATGTAGTTATATTTCATAGGTTTTATTATACTATAAAATTATTTTTTGACATCATAATATTTTTTTAGAATGTAAAAATGGCATATTTTTAGAATTGTCTAGTGAAAATTCAGAAATAAAATATCAAATGTGCAAAATATTGACAACTGAAATGCATCAAAAGTTACATGGTGAAATTTTAACGATTGATTGGATATACCCACTTTTCATCAAAACTTTAATTAAAACATTAAAAAATCTAAATTATTAAAAATTGAGATAGACAAAACATAACCTACTTTAATCTAAATAATTTTTCAAATTGACATGATGTACAAAAATGATCCAGAGCCACCTAAAATCTACTTTTTCTCTCTAGAAAATTTACTTTCTCTCTCTTTGTCTAACTAGTAGCTTAAGAGAAAAAATGGATTTCATTTGGTGAAAATGAGTAGATTGATATTTATTCAAATATTTTTAGAACCGCGGTACATAGAGACCAAGCATTACAACGCTCCCTTCAAAAACTAAAATTCTAGAAAGAACGATGCACAACACCGTAGACCAATATTGTAGAGCCTAAGGGCTAGGCCCAACATAATTGTCATACCCCAAAATGAAATCTGGAAGAATTATTCTTTTATCTTTTATAATTTATAATAATAACCATGAGAGCTATCTAAATTCTTTTAACAATAATAAACTAGCAACAAAAATTAATTTTTATTGATAAAAACATCAAAATACATATGTATATATACTCCAAAAATCATATACAATAGTCAAGAATTACACAAGCACAACTTATGATCTATCATATGCTCCTGACTATAAGAAAATAACTAAAGATAAAAAAAAAATAAAACTTGAGGATCCTTGTAACTGATCTATCTCACACTCATGATCATCTGCCATGACCAGAAATTATTTAAACAATATATAATAAGCTAGAATATCCAATCAGTCACTAAATCCAAAATCTAAACTCAGAGTATGGTAAAGAAGTCATATGCTTGTTGTCAATCAGTTCATAATTATAGCAGTCAATATGGTCATGAATTTATGCAGAAATAATAAACACTTCTAGTAGCAATAAAATCGATAAAATATTAGAATAGTATGATATGGAAGCTAGTAAAATAGTGCATTACATAAACAATAGAATCAATAAATCAGTAAACTAATAAATAATAGATCAGTAAATAAATATGGAGGTTGAATTAATAAGTAGTAAATAATCATTCTCAATTCATACACCATAGTACTAATTAATGAATCTACAAATCAATAAGATAGAAGCATCTATTAAAACATTTATAATCTATAATAATTTAATGTAATCATATCAGTATACACGTGAGGTTCAATTATTTTATATCAGTATCCTATAACGCATATTCGATATCACTTGTTGTGATGTCTCAGAATCTAAATAGGAAAATTTATTTATTTTTAATCTTTTAATGAACAATAAGCAGAGCTATCTAATATCATCTATCAGTAATAAACAACAAAAAAGATTCTATAATTTAAAATATCAATGTACACATCTGTGTTCATTCTAAAAAATCATATACACTACTAAAAATTATAACAAAAAGAAAGAAAACCTGAAGAATCCTGACCAGCCTCACACTCCTGTTCCCCTACCATGGCCTGAAATCATTTAACCACATACAATGAGCTTAAAAAACCTAGCATGCCACTAAAACTATAATTGAATTTAAAGCACGACAAAGGAGCAATATGCACGTCAACAGTCAAATTATAACAATTATATACATATGATCATTGAATTAGTGTATAAATAGTAAATTTATATATAACATTAGTAAAATCTATAAATACTAAAAAAACTATGATACATAAGCCAATAAACCAGTAAACTAGTATGAGTGTCAAATATATAAAGCAATCGTTGTATCTGTAATACAAATCAGTACAAAAATCATATAAATTATCAAAACAAAATATCGATAATGATTGTTAGAAATCAAGTTAATATAGTAAAATCATATAAGAGCATATCCATACTATTCAGATAATCTATCTCACGTGCTCAATATATCACATCCTTAATATCAGTATAGTGAATCAGTAATATCAGTAAGAATCTAGTGGCAAACATAGTAAAATAATATAATAACACTACGAGAAAACACGCGATTACCGTCGGATTTTGCGGCAAAAAATTCTGCGCCGGTTAGCACGGCGCAGTTAACGGTGCATTGTTGCGTCGAAAAATCTACGACGGAGTTTTTGGCGCAAACTACGCCGGAACCTTTTCGGCGTCAGTTACGCCGGCATCGGCGTCGGCAAAAACCAACATTTCACCATTTCCGTTGCATGTTACGACAGAAAATCACCGGCACATGTTCCGGCAGATATGGCGCCGGAGTATTTAAACTCAATGAAATAAAACCGGCGAATGCTGCGCCGGTAATATCTCCAGCGGATAGGACGCCGAAAAATCCGCCAATGAAAGCTCTATTTTTCGAGACCGAGCCCCTCTGGCCCGTCACTTATTTCCTTCCATTCTCTCACCTCGCCTGTTTCGCTCGTTGCCCTCCGTCGCTCGCCGTAGATCATCGTCGCCGACGGTCACCGGACTTTGACGACGGTCACCGGATTTCGCTAAGGCATCCTAGCTTTCGTGGTCGCGTTCATCTTCGCCGACGCTCAAGATCTCGACGGAACGGAAGGTTTTTTTTGTTTCTTTTGACGAATTTTTTTCCTATTTCAGATGGATTACATATATGATTAGCTTATCTTTTTTGCTTTAGGCTTACATTGAATTTATGGTATAGTAATGGAGCATAAATTTTGAAAGAGATATTATGATAGTACCAAAAAATCAATTAGTTTAGGGTTTAGGAGTAAAGGAAGGAGATTGTGGTAGGAAGGATGGGTCTTGGTTTCACTTTGATACCATTGATGATGCAAAAAAAAAATCAAAAAAATAGAGATGGGAAAAAAGATTAGTAGTATTAGAGAAAAAATATGCTTTGTATCAAAGGTTCACAATAAGCACATTTTTTTATGTATTAGTTTTGGAGGTGATTACAAAGCATATTCAAGTTGTTTGGTTAAAGTGGAGGCAATGTTTAAAATTGCGTATTCGGGTATTGAGGCGTTTTTCATTCGTGAGGCGAGGCGTAAGCCTCATGCCAGTGAGGCGAGGCGGCGAGGCGGGCCTCAACCAAGTTGAGGCGTAAGCCTCATAAAAAACACTCGAGGCATAAGCATTGAGGCGTTTTTTACTGGAATTGCGCA